GCACTGGCATGTGTGGTGGGCAGGTGGAAGCAAGTGAAGAGGAAGACTCTTTGTTTGTTCGGAGCATTGGAGAGGTGGCTGGCTTTGTGTACATGACCAGGGGTGTAGCGGGGAAGGGCTGGGTGAGCCCAGGAGGGAGCTGAGAGCTGACAGTTTTGGAGGAGAGTTGAGGATCTGGGGGTCCTCTGGGAGGCTGAGGTTTATAGGGGCATAGAAAAAGATTTTAGAAGTCCTGAAAGCAGTGGGCTGAGGCGTGGGGAAGAGCGGGGATGGGGGAAGGGAGGGGGTAGCTTAGGGAAGTCACTGCCGGGGTGCATGAGGGACACTTGGATGGAGCCTAGGGAGGGACCTGCTGGGGGCCACCTCAGGAGTCACTGATGGGATCTCAGACCCCCTGGCTCTGGAGCGGTGACTTTGGGATCAGGATGGAGACAGATCTGAATTGTAAATCCCATGTGTGCATGTTACCTGTGTATGTGTGTGTGTCTGTCTGTCCCCAGATGCTCTGGGTTACTGGTTGGAACTGTTGTCACCAGTGTAGGGGACTCGCACCCCCTGGGCATGGGAAGTAGTTCCATTCTCAGCTTCAGCCTGTGGTTTGAAGTATCATGTAGGAGCTGAGTGAGTGGATTGGTCAGGCTGTGGGAGCTGGGAAGAAAAATGGCCGAGAGGAGCTCTGTGGACCCTTCTGGGTTTGTTTGTGTCTCCTGGGGGGAGGGCGGGGGTGGGGCTGCAGGCAGCAGCTGCCCCCCTCCCAACCCAGCCGGCCTGCCCTGTGCCAGGAGGGCAGGGAGTCCTGGCACGGCTATTGTTCACTTGCACAAATGCCCGTCTGTTTGCATGGCTCCCCCTCCCTTTCTCTCTGCTTGTCTCTCTCCTGGCCCGACAGGTGTGGCCGGGTGGGGGGCAGGCTAGGGTCCAGGGTGCTGAGTCTCAGGGTCTGTGGCCTGATTTTATTCCCTGGCCCTCAGCACCCCTCTTCTCCTGCCCCAGTGTGCCGCCCCCATTGTGCCTTGTCTCATCATCATTAAGCAAGTGTTATTAAGTGCCTTTGTGTGTGCGGTGATCTTCTGTGTTGTTGCTGGCTATGCCATTAATGTCTCCAGCCAGCCACCTTCTCTCAGTCTCTTGTCCTTATCTGAAGGAGCCAGGCCTGGCTGAGAGCGTCCCAAGTCCTCCTCCCAGTCTCTAGGTCAGGGACCCTCTCCCTCCATACTGCCCAGCGCTGGAGCTCATCCCCGGTGACTCAGTGCCCTTCACAGCCAAGGACTGCTCCTGCTGAGCTTCAGGTGACTCGAATCCCAGTGGGCCCTTCGGGCACCCGCTGGTCCCCATATAGAGGGTCTGGACAGAGGCCTTACTACCCTGGGGAAGTGACTACTGCCAGTTGCAGCTGCAGCGCAAGCGCCCCTGAGCACCGTGTGATCCTCAGAGGCCTTGGGGGAGGACTTCCGCGATGGAGAGGCCCAGTCAGCGAGGGCAGAGGCCTGGCTCTCACAGCCTCGGATTGTGAGGCAGGGGTCTCTTTTGCTGTAACTCACTAGTAAGGCCCTACAGAGCACTCAGGGGCATAGGAAGCGAAAGTCCAGGCTGTGGCACTGCCTTGTCCTTCATGGCACAACTGTTTCCATCTCTCAGCCTGGGAAGCAAAATGGAAAGCAGAGGGGAGACCATGCCCAATTTCGAACGCCCCAGCCTTCAGCCATAAATACTGCCCTTTCCCTCTGGCCTGTCCTTTTTTCCCAAAGTGACCAAGAACTGGGATGAGGGTGATAGGGAGATTTGTGTTGATCTTTTCTGACCTTCACAGGAAACCTCTGTGGTCTTAAGTTCGAAGGAAGTAAGAAAGAAGGGCTGGGAACCCTTCGGGAGCAGGGAGAGGAGAGGAGGCTGGAGGCTCTCATAAGAAATGAAGGGGTCCCCCCCAGAGCAGGACCATAGATGCTAGACAGCAGAGGACCAGACTAAGTAGCAAGGCCATGTGGGCACCAGGACAATGGACACATGGAGGCATGGACATGAAGGCTGCCTGCGGGGGGAGGGGGGGATGTAAATGGAAACAATACGATTTTCTTAAAAATACCTGGAAGGGAATAGGACAAAGAATCAAACCAGTTCCCTCACTCCATCCCTGGTAAGCAGAGCCCGTATCCTTCCATCCTAGTAGCCCGAGCCCTGGGGCGGGCACAGGCCACCTCAGGGACAATAGTGCTAAGCAGTGCCAGGGCCGCTTGCCGCTGGGCAGTGCCCATGCTGGGATGTGTTGCTGCTATAGCTGCTGCCCGCTGCTGGCCCACCTAGAAAGGGGGTCACTTCAAGAGAGGGTGAGTGTTGGGAGGTGGAGGAGGCAAAGTGCAGGGTCCCTGAGCTATCTGTGGGGCACCCATGGCGGGGAGAGGAAGGGCCACTGGACACCCACTCTGTGGCTACCCCAGCCCTTTGTTCCTGTGGCACTGCCATCGGGACTGGCTGGGCAGGTGAGTGTGAAGGCAAGCGGGGGAGGGCAGAGGTCCGTATGGAGAAGGGAGGCTTGTGGACTTGTAGCTCTGGCGCAGTAGCAGTGTTTGGGCTGAGCTGCAGCCCTGCAGTGACCTGGCCAGGCATGTTCTTTTTAATGCTGTGTTTGTGTTTGTTTACTTTTAATTCAAATGTCAAAAGTGTTCAGACTCTCAGTGTGTGTCACAGAGAAGGCTGGGAGGGCAGGAAGGGAGCACTGGTCTTTGAAGTCCTACAAGGCGATAATTGAGAGGTGACTTTCATATTCTAAATATAATAAATCCGTTAACGAGCTATACCTTTGGAGCAAGGTAGATGGAGAGTAGACCCACAGGAGGCTTTGCTAGTGATTCAAGCGGGTGGGTCCAAGCACAGAAAAAGGGAGGCTGCAGTTGGAGCCTCTGAGTGGGGCCCAGGGGAGGTGGAGAAGGAGGTGATGCAGAGGGAGAAGCAGAAGCAGAAGCAAGGCCAGCAGAAAAGAGAAAGAGGTGGAGGAGCAGAGGAGGGGGCCTGAGCTGAGCAGGGAGGGCATGGAGAGAAGACCAGGAGGCAGGAGAGGAGAGAAAGTAAGTGTGTCATTGCTGCCCCCCTGTGTGGGGTTGAGATGGCCCGAGGAAAGGATGTAGGGTGCAGGAATAACCCCCAGACCTGGGCTCTGCTCTCCAGGGGGCTCCAAGCTGAGGAGGGGCAGGGGAAGAGGATCTTAGCCACTAGGGCGGCCGTGCCCTCTGCCCTGTTGACTCGGCCTCCACACTTCCCTTTTCTGTGGGCGGTGTCCCCTCCCCCACCTCCTGGCTGCCCCTGTACCCAGCTGCAGGCAGGACTGCTCTCATCAGGACCAGGCTGAGAGGCCTCACTGAGTTGAAATTCTGTGTCTGAGGGTTCTGCCAGTGTCAGCTTGGGGTTCATACACTTCACCTCAGCACTTTAGATCCCATTTTTTAACATTTCTTTTTTTCTTTTATTTCCCTCCCCTTCCTTTTCCCTTCCTTTCCTTTCACAGTGTTGGGGATGGATGGAACCGGGCCTCACACAGGCTAGGCAAGCACTCTACCACTGAGCTACATCCCCAGCCTCTTTTTTTGAGGGGGGCGGGTACCAGGACTCGAACTCAGGGCCTTGCGCTTGCCAGGCAGGCGTTTGTGCCGCTGAGCTATATCCCTGGCCCCCCAGCCTTTTCTTTTTATTTTTCTTTTGAGACAGGGTTGCCTAGCCTGGCCTCAGCCTTGTAGCCCTCCTGCCTTATTTTCCTGATAGCTGGGATTCCAGGCCTGCACTACCACTCCTGACTGCTCTTTGATTTCTGAGAAGCTGAGAACCCTTGAAGGGAGTGGTCAGCAGGTAGTACTGCTTTCTCCGAGAATGGAGGGAAAAAGCAGAGACCAGAGGTGACTACTGAGGAAGGTTCCGGGATAGGTGGAATGAAGATGTTCCATCTTCTCACCCATTCAGGCTTTTTGGGAAGCTCAGGAGCTTGAGGGACAGAAAGGAGCTCAGGATGACCTAGCTTGCTGAGGCCAGGAGGAGGCTTAGGAGAAAGCCACGAGGGGAAAGGCCTGCCTTCGAGGTTGGAGGAGGGACACACAGTGTGCCCTATCTCTATGGAAACCAGACCTGGAGGATGGGGGTGGGTGTCAGAAAGGACTTCCTGAGATGGGATGACATACAGGGAGGAACCATCCAGGGAGCTCCGCTAGGTTTTGTCTGAACAAGTAGTGTGAGAAGGATAAAAATTAGACTGCAGGGAAAGTTTCCTGCCCAGATGACCGAGCTGGCTGGCGAGTTTCCTTCCTTAGAGGTCCCAGAAAGGAAGAGTGACCTGCCTGGGGCTGGGGGGGACAAGCAGCCTCCCCAAGAGGGGCGCAGTGGGCCTTGGCTGCATGGGGGTGGAAGCGCTGGAGGTTTGGGATCCTGACCTCCGGGTTGGGGGTGCCCAGGGAAGCATTCTGCCCCTCCAGTCAATCTAACAAGGGGATCTCCTGTCCCCTCCCATCCCCCCATGACTGCTGGGAGACAGCGGCTCCAACGCCGGTTGTCATGGTTATGAGAAGCGCTAACTCCCATAGATTGGAAAGCGCTGGTGAGCTGGCACCCTCTGCTGTGCCCGCTCTCCCCTCCTCTCTGCGCATCTTCCCCCGGCACAGAGAAGAGCGTACAGCAGCTCGGGGGCGACAGAGCTGGGGCTGGGAGGTGGAGTGAGGACGCAGAGATCCAGAGCTGAGATCTAGAGCCGGGGAGATGAGTGGCAACAGGAGGCAGCCCAGCCGCAGGGGCCAGGTAGGTCAGGGACTCAGAAGCCCTTGGCAACTAGATGCCTCAGGGCCTGGCTACTCCTGGACAGCTGCCTCTGGCGCCTGCGGCAGGTCGTGCTTTAGGGATGGGTGTCTTTCCAGCCTCCCAGGCAGGTGCTTCTCCCTTGCCTCTGTCCTCAGCCTGTCTGTCCAGATGCCAGGCACCCTGGTATCGTCCACCCTCACTTTCTGTCTCTCTTGTCCGTTCCGCAGACCCGGGAAAAGGAGAGGATGAAGGAAGCCAAGGATGCCCGCTATACCAATGGGCACCTCTTCACCACCATCTCAGTATCAGGCATGACCATGTGCTATGCCTGTAACAAGAGCATCACAGCCAAGGAAGCCCTCATCTGCCCAAGTAAGTTGTTTGGCCCCGGTCACTTAGATTTGGTGCCCGCCCACCCTAATTTGCCATCCGACCTTTCTGCCTGGGGTCTGTGAGGGGAACTTTGCTCTGAGCCCCTGCTGGGCCCGAGTGTCAGGGCCACATGCTTGTGCCCTTGCCCCTGTTCCTCGCGCAGAGGGTGGTGGCTCCTGGAATGTGGCATAGGCAGGTCTCTCTGGGGATGTGGCGAAGGGATTCCTGGATGGCATCCTGTGCAGCTGTCACCCTGTGGGCATCCCCCTTGCTCCCAGAACAGCTGCTGAGAGTCATGAGAACTGATTGGAGAAAGAGCAGGAATGTGTGTGGAGGGGGTGATGCAGGACTGTGGGGAGCTGCCAGCCTCGCAGCTGGCCCTGCCCATCTTCCTGGGCAGAACTGGACGTTCAGGACTTTAGGGTCCCTTGTGCCCTTGCTATTGCCTGGGTGGAGTCTGGAATTCGTACTGTTTCAAGGAGAGGACGGGATTAGGCATCTCCTCCCAAGTTCCCGGCCTGACAGGACAGTGAGAAGGGAGTACAGTAGGGGATGTCCATGTATTGTGAGGAAGGGGTTGGGACTCTGGCCCTGCATTTAGGGAGCCTAAGCAGGGGATTCCCTCCTTCGCCCGAATACCTATGTGGAGAGGGGGTGCTTCAGCTCTGCCCTTTCCTCAGTTCCTCCTGAATTGAGAGCAAAGAGATGCCTCTGTTTGGAGCAGGATGGAAGATATTATGACTTGCCGCTAGTCAGCAGGGCGGAAGCTCCAGCCTCAAATCCTTGTGGCACTGGAGGAAGAAACCCCCAGAAAGCACCAGGGAGGCCTCCTTCCCCTCCGACCTTTCTGCTCTATTTAGAGTTAGGAGGACGAGGAGGGAACCCCAATCTCGATGCCTCTAGAGACCTGACAACATACCCAATCCGGAAGCTTGTTGCCAGGGGAACTGGGGAGGCAGGCAGGGCTATTTTGAGAGCAGGTGGAGAGCGGAGGTTCGATCTAGAGACACTAGGTGTTGGGGGTGGGCAAAGGGAGCTCCAGGGAGGTGGGGGCTGCTGCAGCCCACACTCGGTCTGCCCCTCTGCCCCACCCTGCTGGCCTTGTATTTGTGGAAGTGAGCGTGGTGCTGGGTATTGTGTGAAGGAGTTAGCAGTTTCCGGTGTGGGGCAGGGGAGGGGAAGCTGGGGAAGGCCGAGGGCTGAGGGCATGTTGGGGAAAGGACAGCAGTGGTTTGGGCCTGGGCTTGGCAACAGCTCCTTTCTCCTCCTCTTCTCGCCTCCCCATGGCAAGGTGGGGCAAAGGATGGGGGAGAAGCAGATGGAGTGTGGGAGCTGTGGGTTTGCCCTGCACAGGGAACAGGGCTCCCCCCAGCCTGCAGGGAGAAGGCAGCCCGCCTGGAGGTGGTGCAGAGGGTCGGCAGTCTTGGCAGAGAAGAGCAGGGCAGGGCCCGTGTGAGTTCCCCCACTGGATCTGTCAGCCTTGGAGCTACTTAGGCCTAGACAGAGGTCATGGGCAGACGTGTTGGAAACAGAAGGAGCATGGCCTTTGGATTCAGGCAGCCAGAGTTTAAACACCAGCTCCATGCCAGCTGCATGGCCGGAGGCAGGTGATTTTACTATCTGTAAGAGGGTGGTTGAGCCAACCTGCAGGATTGTTGGGTCAGAGCGAACCAGAGCTTGGGGAATATTAACTCCCTTGCCCCAGCCCCTCTCCAGCTGCCGCCTGCCAGCTTCTCTTCTGTGGGAGTCCTCTCTACCATCTGCCATCTCAGCCTCCTTCCTGCTTCTTGAGCTCATCCCTGGCAGCAGTCACCCTTCTTCCCTCAGTCCACTCCTCAGGCCCTTTGGTTCATGGCTGTCCACCCCTCCTGATTGCTGAATTTCCCTCCATACGCAGACCCCTCTCACTTCATTTCCTGCCACAAGGAAGAGGGAGGTGAAGGAGAGGGGATGAAGCCTGGGAAGTGGGCGAGTGTCTGAGGACCGTGTAGCCAGGGGGCGTTGGGGGCCTGCATGGGTGTGTCCCCTCCTGTACCATCTGCCCCCCCTTCATCCTCTCTACCCCACCTCCCAGCCTGCAATGTGACTATCCACAACCGCTGTAAAGACACCCTGGCCAACTGTACCAAGGTCAAGCAGAAGGTGAGATGGCAGGGAGGGCAGAGGGCTGGGGGAGAGGGTAGTGAGTGTGCACTCCCTGTGGCTTCCATTCATTCCCCGTCCTGTGTGCCTCACCCCTGTCCTCATGGGTGGGGGGGCTCCCCAGATCCTCAACCCCAGGCCCCAAGCCCTGGGCACAGCCACCTGATGCCCCTAACCACAGTGCTAGCTTTCTCCTGAGGTGCCAGGTGCCCAGCTCCTGCCCCAGGCCCACGAGAACAATCCTTGGGTGACAGGTCCTTGGGTGACAGCCGTCCTTGTGTGTCTTTTGCTCTGTCTCACAGCAACAGAAAGCCGCTCTGCTGAAGAACAACTCTGCCCTGCAGTCTGTTTCTCTCCGCAGTAAGAGTGAGTAGTGAGGCTTGGGCAGCCCCCTAAAACCAGGGACCCCCAGGCTGTTCAGCCTGTGTGCTCTGCTGCCCCCCTGAGGTCACTCGGGGGGACAACAGCTGCCCCTCAAGTGGAAAGGGTGAGTTTAGAGGCAGGACAGGAGCCCCCACTGGGGAAAGCTGGGACAGCTGGGCATCACAGTGCAGCCACATCTTTATTAGTATTTTTGTTGTTGTTTTTTCCGGTACCGGGAATCGAACTCACGACGTCACGCTTGCCAGGCAGGCGCTGTGCCACTGAACTAAATCCACAGCCCCCTTTATTAGTATTATTATTAGTTATTTACAATGCATTTTTGGGTGTGTTGGTAGCAGCTGTCGAGTGTCAGTGCAGACAGCTTTGGTGTAGTGAAGAAAGCATGGTGCCCAGCCAGAAAGAGCAGAGACCGCATCTCTGCTCACCATTGCTGGGTCACCCTGGATGGGCCTTTACAGCCTTCAGAGTTTCTGCTTGCTTATAGTTGGTTTCATGAAGGAGATAAAACAAGAAGAAGCTCTTGGTGAGCAGTGCAGGATCGCAGGCACGAGGTGGCATCATCACATCCTTACTAGCGTCCTTTAACTAGAGAGGGGCTTAGGTGGGCAGGCGGGGGTGCTGTATTTCTAGGCGAGGAACCAGGGAGCCAGAGTCCTGGGAAGGCACCAGAATTTGATGTTTGCCTGCTTGGCTTCTTGCCCTGACAGCAACCACCCGCGAGCGGCCTAGCTCTGCCATCTACCCCTCCGACAGCTTCCGGCAATCCCTCCTTGGCTCCCGCCGTGGCCGATCCTCCTTGTCTTTAGCCAAGAGTGTTTCCACCACCAACATTGCTGGGTGAGCCTATCTGGGGGAGGGGGAGTCAGGCAGTGGAGAATGTGGAGCCCAGGGGACCGAGAGGTTATTTTGTGTCTCAGAGTTCGGAACTGTAGACGGGAGGAAGGAGAACTCAGGTTCTCTGCCTGGGCTGGGACTCCCTGGCCCAATGGGGGTGATGCAGACTGCCTCTGCTTCCTTCAGACATTTCAATGATGAGTCCACCCTGGGGCTGCGCCGGATCCTTTCACAGTCCACAGACTCCCTCAACATGCGGAACCGAACCCTCTCGGTAGAATCCCTTATTGACGAAGGTGAGTGTGCCCCGGCCTAGGGGAAACGTGGGGACGATAAGAGGGCTGGTCATGAGTGGTTGGCGAGGGTATCCTGGGCAGGGCCTCAAGAAGAGCTCAGTGACGGGAGCTTGGCTCTGTTTCCGCCCCATGGATGTCCAGGTGCAGAGGTGATCTACAATGAGCTGATGAGTGACTTTGAGATGGATGAGAAGGATTTCGCAGCCGATTCCTGGAGCCTTGCTGTGGATGGCAGCTTTCTGCAGCAGCATAAGAAGGAGGTGATGAAGCAGCAGGATGTCATCTACGGTGAGCTGAGTCCACCTGGTCTTTCTTTTCCTTCACCAGGTCCTACTGGTCTGTGTCCTTCTTTCTGCCGGCCTCTGCCTCTCGAGGCCCTTTCCCTAACTCTTTGGTCCCCACACCCCTGCCTGGCATCACCTTGTCCCCTGTGCCCCCATCCATGTCTTGGTGACGTTGATCTCCAAGGTCCTATCGTTGCTCCTTTGCCCCTCAGTTCTCTGCCCATACTTTGCTTCTTTTGTGTCTAACCCTGCTGGGGACTATGGGAAACCTACACATATAGAAGACACACGATTCCTGCCCTGAAATAGTTTATAGCTTGACACGACAAGGCGTAAAGATTAAAAGCAGGAAACTAGAAAATGATCTGAGATCACAACAATGCAGATTTTAACCTGAAAGGAACCAGTTTAGAGCCCCATGAGTGGTGGCCAAACCAGAGAAGCAGGCCAGATGTCCCGTTGTCCCCACAGAGCTAATCCAGACGGAGCTGCACCATGTGAGGACGCTGAAGATCATGACCCGCCTCTTCCGCACGGGAATGCTAGAGGAGCTGCAGTTAGAGCCAGGAGTGGTCCAGGGCCTGTTCCCCTGTGTGGATGAACTCAGTGACATCCATACACGCTTCCTCAGCCAGCTGTTGGAACGCAGACGCCAGGCCCTATGCCCTGGCAGCACCCGGAACTTTGTCATCCATCGCTTAGGTGACCTGCTCATCAGCCAGGTGGGAAAGGCAGGACCCCTGGGTGATATTCATAGCAGGCCGTGGGACTGGAATGAGTTTCGGTGAATGGAGTGAGCTGGTCTTGACTGACCAAGCTCTGGGGACTAGAAGGAAGCCAGGGAGGGATGGAGAAGCAGGGAAGCAGCCTATCTGTGACAGGCCAGTGTCCAGGGGATAGATACAGATTTGGGGGAAATGCTGACCTGTGCTTGCTCCCCTGCCTTCAGTTTTCAGGTCCCAGCGCTGAGCAGATGCGGAAGACCTACTCGGAGTTCTGCAGCCGCCATACCAAGGCCTTAAAGCTCTATAAGGAGCTGTATGCCCGGGACAAACGCTTCCAGCAGTTTATCCGGGTGAGCAGACGTCCCTGGGACATAAGGCTCCTCTCATAGGTCCTCTCACGGTCCAAACCTTGTAGCACCCCATTGATGATATGGTGGTGCACACCTGTGATCTCAGAGGCAGGAGGGTTGCAAGTTCGAGTCCAGCCTGGGCAACTGAGCAACTTACTCTGTCTAAAAATAAAAAAGCAGCTAAGTGTAGTGACATGTGCCTGTAATCCTAGTACTCTGGGAAGCTGAGGCGGGAGGATTGAAAGTTTGAGCCCAGCCTGGGCAACTTAGCATCTAAGCAAAACCTTTTTTCAAAACTGAAAAAGATACTGGGTGTAGTGGCACACCTATAATCCCAGCATTCAGGAGGCTGAAGCAGGAGGACTGGTGCA